CCTGTTTTGACCAGGGATCTCCTGGTTTTGAAACTTTTCTCCTGGCAAGAAATCTTCTGATTTCAGGAGCTGATTTTTATGTTTTCTACTGATTTCTCCTGATTTTTTTAATGTGACGATTAGTGACGTTTTGAGCCTATAGTGATTTTAAAGAGAAAAGAAAAAATCTATAGGAGCGTTAAACTTATATATGGAATGATAATCGAAATCGAATGAATCATGATTTAGTTGGAGCTGAGTTAAAGATTAAAATGAGCACTCATTTTCAATGTTACCAGATGTCGAACTCGAAAATCCGGAAAATTGCGGAGTTTTTTTTAATGCCGAAAATGTTCGGAAAGCTTTTTTTGGGTGAGTTTTATTCATTTAAAGTACCTTTTACTCTAACGGATTCGGAACAAAGATACTCTTTATTCATATCTACAACATATATTTAAACAAAAAAAGTGCACATCCAACAATGTTGCTGGATAGCAACCTCGAAAATCCAAAAAATTTCGAAATGTGTTTTTCGAAATCTGGAAAAAATCGAGAAAAGCTTTGAAAATTCGGTAACAATCCAAAACAACTTTCAAAATCCGGAATTTTTCCGCAAAATGTGGGGATCGGGCAACGCTGCTCATTTTACTGGCACACAATTCTATGATTATCTTGTAAATGAACCAGATCTTTCGAAATAGATTCGATCGTCATCGAAGTAGAGTCACGTCGTAAAAGTGCTACGAATTGTTGAGTAAATTGGTTAAGTATTTTTTACTATGTATTCTAATGAACACGTTTTAATTATCTATTTAAATAAATTTTACAAAATCAGCATTCTATTGACAATTTTAACTCGCCTACAAGGAAAACTTTCAGCATCAATCTCATTAGGAAAAGAGATTAATGCGACGGAGTGAAAAATCGGATGTTATCAGATAAAAACCATCGAATGACTGTTGAATGTCAAAAAAATACTCCTGATTTAGGAAAAAAATTCTCCTGAAAAACTGCTGATTTTTCGCAAAAAACTGCTGATTTCTGAAATTTGAATTTGGTAACCCTGATGTAGTCTGTGGATATATCATTTACTCACACTCTATGCCATTCGATGCACCGAAATGGGGTAGTTTATATTATTTATTGGATTTAAATTATAGCGATAATTAAACAAATTTTTTAAAGCCCTGAAGTAATTTAATGGTCATCTTTTCATACACATAAAATGATTGATGAATGCTTTCTAGTAACCTAGGTTAACTTATTTAAAGTTTTACAATGAATAAGAAACATTATCATTTTATATTGCATTGTTTAACTAATACGATGATCAACAGAAACTGACAACTACTTTATTCTTATTCTTTTGTTCGTGTTTGTGCGCGTTGTTTCTACATCATAGACAGCAGTAGCCTAAATATTCAGCAGAATAAAGTGTACTTTTGCTCTTTTCTGGGCCATGCAAAAATAGAAAGGGTTATTAAGCAAAAAAAACGTAACAGTTTGCAAAAACGATACTTGCACAACATGCTTCGTATGTATGTATTTCTGTATGAGGCTACATAGTCTATTTCATTGATGAAACATAGGTCGTAAAGAGTACTATATAGTATCAAACTGAAAATCTTATTCCTTTATCCTTAAGATCTATCCAAGAGCTGTGAAATATGAATTCCTTCTTAGTTATTCTCACAGTTCCATGATTTCTAAAACAAAAACATACAATATTCACAGCAATATTTCTTCTCACATTCATTTTGATTATCGAATTTGTGAACATGAATGTGTTTATATGAAAGCGACTGCAAAACAGATATAAATTTAATTTTGTGAAGGATGTAGACCTTTTTTCACCTATACTCACACAAAAGTAATTATTGGTAACATTCACAGACAAATTACCAAATTACGGTTAGTTACGAACATTTCATCATTCACATCTCATTACCATACCAAAACAAAACCAATAATTCGTTCGTATCTCTCCAAAATCTCAACTACTGATAAACAACCAATAAATATCCATCACTATAAAACAATTCACTCAAGAAAATTTCTACAAACATTCATTAAAACTTGTAAACTACATTTTGCCGAACTAGGGTGTGGGTGTGGTGCGACTGTTATTGATGAATGGCAAGAACACTCACACCCACACCCACCCTTTTAATAGGACCGATTATTGAGAAACCGCTTAAAAGCTCCCTATGCTTGAGTCTGCATGATCTTGTAAAATCGACCATTCATAATACAGGGGGCAGAATACAGCACCTAACATGGCAATGAAATATGTTTTATATTCTATGCTGTACTCAACTTACCATGAACTCGTACAGTTCAGATGTTTATTTCGATGTTTTAAACCCAGATTTCAAGCAACTCCCATATGTTGAGAGAAAATCTCCTTTGCAAAGCATGATATGTGGAACTCACATACATTTGCAAGAAAATGACGAATGTAAATTTAAAAGGGACATTTTTGCGGCTTTCCACCTACTCATTACTGACACTAATATATATTTTACTCCACTAATTAGCACACTATTTCTTACGTCTTTCCAACTCAAACGATACAGAAAAATGAAGCGTTACCCATTACAGACACTAGCAGCTAGATCTGATCGCGTTCAAGATTTTTTGGACCATGACTTAATTCATTAAGCTTTTGCGGATTTCGAAATGAGTCTTAATCTGAAAATTCTTAATGAAATTTTCTAATTCAAATTTGATTATTGCTCAGAAGATATAATATATTTGTTTTCTTTACCTTTATATATTTCATGTTCTTGTGTGTTTGCATACTTTTTCTTTTTCTTTCATTCTGTGTAACGAAGGAACATTTGGTAAAGGGAATAACATATTCTCTATCAATACTCTACCATTTCATACAGTCTTTACAGACAGCTAAACTAAATCACATAATTTTTATCATTATTTATTGTTATTATATCTGTACAAATGGATACATATACCTATTTCGAAGATTTATCAAATGAAATTTTCTTCGAAATATTTGATTATTTACATGCATTTGAGATTTTTACTGGTTTTACTTCAATAAACAAACGTATTTCATCTATGTTACAATGAATTCCACTTCGTATTGTTGTTTTATATAATTATTCTCATCGGCAAGTTGATTTTATTTCATTTCATCTTACTTTTCATGATTATACATCTGTTATTGATTTATTATTTCATCGACACAATTTTACTAATCTTGAAACATGTGTATTAATTGCAAATAGTTCACCAACGAAACTTGAAAATGTTATTAAACTAGTGAAAACTCCGAATAAACTTGTTTCATTTCGTATTTATGAATCAAATGATCATAATATAAGTACAATCGATAAATCTGACTTAGCTCGAATTATGTTAATGCATAAATCATCTGTTCATTCAGTTCAACTTCATTATCGTTATCATTACATGGATATATCAAATTATACGTCGATATCTTCGAATCTGATCTTACTTAAATTATATATTTGTGGTTCACCCTTTACAGTATCTGTTTATTCAATTTTATCAACTCTTCACCTTTGTCAAACAATTCGATATTTAAGCATTATAGTGGCATAGAAAGATCAAATTGAAAATGATAATATCAAGTAAGTTCCCCTAACAAATTTACAAAAGAAAAAAGATTAAAAATAAAATGTAGGTGTGGGTGGGTAAAAGAAACACCCACACCCATCCACACCCTTCACTAATATCTTTTTTTATTCTTTATAATAAAACTTTATGTCGATAATTAATAAAAAAGTTTTTTATTAAAACTGACATTGAAGTTCGTCATAATAGTGCATCCATACTAATGATAGATATAAAAAAGCCAATATCCCAAGAATAAAGTTTAATGTATTAATAAATATTGGATTCAAAATATCACCTAAATTTTTGAATGATAAAACACATGAAAGCATTGCGATAAACACACAAAAAAAGAAGTTTTAAAGAAAAATTTTTTATTTGCATTTGATTTTTATCAAAAAATAAGTAATGAAACCAGTTAATGTTACTATTATAAGGTTCAAATTGTATAATATGATGCAAAAAAGTTCGATCATCCACGTATAAAATACAAACGAATAAATGTGAGACATACAAAGAATGATATAATTAAACATATCAACATTAAAATGGCTTTTTGCCATAAGAAAACGACAATCATTATTGAAGACCATTTACAATAAGTCTGATATTATTTAAGATGAAATGAATTAAAGAACATTCGATCTTATACAGCAAAAATCTATTCAATTTAAGAAAATTAGTTAAGTCAATAACAAATCGGAATACAAGAAGAGAAATCGAAAAAATATTTCTTCTTACTATTTAAAGAAAATACTCGATGGCGACTGTATCAATGAATAAATACCTTTTTAAATTGTTTTTCACATTTAATCCATTTATCAAAAGATTTTCTATTTGAAAGAAATAAAAATTTATCAAATGAGAAATATTTTTAAAAAATTTAAATATTTATCTGTATCTTTAAACGAAAAACTTCAAGAGAATAAAATCTATATTTAAATCTTAAATGAATTTTTTAATTTTCAAAAAACTATTGAAAATGTTTTTTCTTAAACAATTATTTTCAAACAAATTCTATATAAAAATCTTTCAACATTCAAAATATTTGAAGAGTCGACTTTTTACATCTTTTCATGTCGATTTCGTAATCAATTAGAAATTTTCATCAGATGCATACTTTTTTATGCTTATTCTGCTGCCAGTATGAAAATCTTTAACAGATTAAATAATGAAAAATCATTATTTCAAAACTTGAATTTCGAATTGCAGGATGATGATGGCATGAAGTATTCTTCAATAGATGCATTTTTGTTTCAATTTCAATTCGAATTTTTCCTCACTCGATATCGTTTTAATAGAAAAATAGAATGTGACATATATAATTTTTAATTGAAATGAATGATGGAATAGTATATGATTCCGTTTTTTTGTTCAGTCTAAAAAGAGAACATTCTATGACATGTCCTATCTAGGCATGTACCGAGCTTTTTTTCGTTACTTTCAAAGACTTTTAGTTCAAAACCTTCAGCTCTTCAGTGAAAAGCTGAATCATGAGGCCCAACTTATCAAAAGATAGACCAAACATCGCT